CAGATGGGAATATGCTCAAACAAAGTGCTGGGATGTTGAAATAGCATCAGAGTAAGCTTGCCGATATCAAAAGGGAGCGTTATTATATTGCAAACTGCTCAGAAGTCGAGAACGTAGCGCACGCAAATTTTGCACATAAAGTAGACCATAACTCGCTTCATAATTATGCTAAGCAACTAGTAACAGCATATTTGGAATCAGCGCTCCAAGCTGATTCCAAACATATTTGTTTCATCTCAAAAGGCGAATCTGTGTAAGTGTACTTCCCTTGTAAGATGAAAAAAGCGATGTGAAATGCATGAACAACGATAAGCGGTTAAAGCGTAGGGACACCATGAGCTGCTGACTCCCCGCGCGCTGCGGCGTACTCTAATACTGGAAGGGCTCCAAAGAAGCACGCCCGCGGTAGTGTAATTGCACGGATCGCGGGAGTCGTCAACGGATTTCCTTCATTTGGAGCTACCGCTTGTTGATTTTGACGGCTTTTGCTGGAAATCTGACCGAAATAACTACAAATCTGTCATTAGTTGCATATTCATGAGTTTTTGACCTTCAATATTTTCATTCTTATTTGAGTTCAAATCAGTAGGACTGGACAACTCGTGCAACCATCTACTCCACTAAATTTTAAAATACTTCCAAAACGTTATAAAACGCTAAAAAAATGCTATCGCTGCTATCCGCTGTGAGCTGGCGATAAAAATCGCGCCTCTTGACATGAAGTAGGTGCACTGTTTTCCAACGCAATTCTAGGAGTTTTCTTTGTCTGGAATACAAAAAGTGAAGTCTGATGCTTGTGTTCTGCATCTACAAACGAAAGATTTGCGATGGAAAATTTTAAAATACGGACCCATGATCCAATTGAGAAGATTGACTTTTTTACTGGCAATTTCGTGATTTTTTTCTTGCTCTCCAGTTTAAACATCGTCACTTTCATGTTTCCAAATCACCGTTAAATCTGCGCGTGTAACTTGAAAATCTATCTAACATACTTATGTGTACCATTCTTGAGTTTCATCTAGAATTGAAGATCTCATTTGTTAATTCTCTTTGGTATAGTGCTTTTGCATAACTCGTCAGCCCAAAGCACCTGCGTCTCTAGCGAAAATTACGGTGTCTCGCTTACCCAATCGCGGCACCGTCCAATCAGAGGCGCGCAGTCATTAGGCTGCTAAGGGCAGCGGTGCAGAGGGCCTCTCCCAGACATTCTGCTTAGCCTTTTGAATGAAACGCTCTGAACGTATTAAATAAAAATGGAAATAAAATAGTTGATTCTTATTATATAATGAAATGGTTTTTACGCTCCTAAATCGGGGCATTTTTTTTCACTTAGTTCCGACCGCTCCCAGTCAAGATGAGGTAAGATGTTGCAAAAGAAATATAATGTCGCAGGGTTTAGTGAAATGAGAGGGGCCCCCGACAGGTGTCGAAAACCCCTCATGTTTGGTATGTTCTCTGCTTGCCAACACGAATACTTCTTGGACTCTGCTAAAGTTGAGTGCTCGATATTGCCCTAATC